GAAATACTCCTACATGTATGTACTTTTGGCTCCTCTCCCCTTCTCTGTCCTTCATGATTTGCGTAGACCACATCCTCCTGTCGCCCGGGACAAAGTTATCTTTAGCTTTATCATGAGAGCTTCACATTTGGTACTTGTACCTTACTTCTCTTTTTAAGCTTCTTCTTTTCTTTTTTGTGAATTCTGAAGTGTTTCGCCGTGTGTGTGGTGTGTGCACGAACAAGATGTGTGCGTGCGTGTGTGTGCGCGTGTGCGCATGTGTGTGTGCGAGTGTGTGTGTGTGTGTGTACGGTACAGAGACAGGAAGCCTTAAGATCTCAACGAACACGGAAGTGACGACGTTTGCCTCGACTCAAACCTGACACTTCTCCCCTGAGGTTTAACTTAAAAAAAGTGTCAGAAGTGAAAATGACATTTTGTGTTCATGTGAAATAAAAACTTAAAGCCTAAATATACACACCCAGTCAAAGATTTGGACTTCACCTTCTCTTCGGTGTTTTATTTATTTATTTTCTTTACTACTTTCTACATTTTAAAGAAAGAAATGTCACATTTATGATGCAACATACATGGAATTATGTAGTAAATACAGATATTATATTTTATTTTCATCTGCTCCATGTACCTTTTGCTTTGACAGTGCTACAAACCCTTGGCCTTCTCTTAATGAGCTTCATGAAATGGTTTTTACTTCATGTGCCAACAGTGCAAACCAGGGTCAAAGTAAAGGGTGTCTAAACCTTTGACTTAGAACTTTAGCCATGAACTGAAATTAAAAGTTAAAGTCCAAAACATTGAAAAGGTGCAGAAGTCACTGAAGTTTAGAGACGTGTGTTAGTGATGCTGCTGCTGGTGACTGACAGCTGCACTTTCATTTCAAAAGAATCATTTACTGTATCAAATATTCTAACTTTAAATAGTCGTGTTTTTGATTCAAACGTTGAACTGAACTCACATTTTACAGAGATCCTTATGATATCTACAGGTGCACCTGCTCCTTCCATGGACATGTCACTGCTTTGACTTCAATGTTGCACAGTACAGCATTAAACATATCTATCTCCATGGAAACAAGTTTATTCAAGATGAGCTCACATTTATTATATTATTTAAAAACTATGAACTTACAACATGTGTTTCTGCATTGGGCCTTTAACATTTTAAAATTTCAAACTGAACATTTACAAATTGAAAAAAAAAAAAAATATATAATATAATATATATATATATATATATATATATATATATATATATATTTTTTTTTTTCTATGCTATTTCTTTTAAGAATGAAGTTACATGGAACAAATGTCGCACTTGAAAAAACACCCGCCCAGTTACTGACACATTCACAAATGCCAAAGCAGAACCAAGAAGAAAGGATTCACACCAGAATAATACAAATAAAACACTGAAAACTCATTATGGATAAATAAGAATGATTTTTTTTTTTTTTTTTAATTCAAGCTCTGAAGTCTCCGTGCGACACAAAATATTTTGCTCATTCTACTTCATAAATATATAACATGTGCAGAAGGTACTGTCTCCAAAAACTTTAACATGAATTACTAAAATTTATAAAGTAATAAAAGTGTAAACGTGTTCCAAATGTTATAGTGTCAAAGGAGGACATGTTTGACCACAATGTCCAAGATTTTCATATATTTTTGCTTGGTTCACGTAATGGGTGGGGTCCCAAAGGTGGGTCACTGACAATTAGATAGACAGAACTCTTTTGAATGAATGAAAACATCTGAAGAGGTCAATAGGGTTATAAAAATATACAAAGAATTATCTGCAACCAAGTTAAAATTCCTTAAGTTCATTTTTCGAAAAGAAGCCTCGCATCAGTTCACAAGGTCTGGATCAAAGCTGGTACTTACAGCTGCCCAGCGCGATGACCCCGGCCCACAGGAGGAGAGAGAGGGCACCCATCTGTGCCATGTCCAGAGGTGTGGATGGACCGCACCATACACCGACGAAAAGCAAAAAAGAAACCTACAAATGAAATAAAAAAAGACTAAAAACGAATCGGGTTTGATCAGAAGTTACATAAATGCGCCGTCTCTTCTCACTTGGTGCTTCCTGGACTTGTTCCTCAAACCTGCAGCTTCTGTCAGGGCGGGGGGTGGAGGGGGGGTGATGATGTCACGCACACACACACTTACACACACATACACACACACTCACATGAGAACAGGAAGTGCCCTCTGCCATTTTGGGCTTCAAGTGCGAGAGGCTGTGATCAGGTCCTGTTCACACTGAAGCAAATGGAGGCCGAGGAGCAGCTCTGAAATTCACAAGGAAACCACATGAGAAGTTTAAGTGTAAGACTTTGTCAGGACTTTGTGAGCACATCATTCAACTAAAAAAAAAAAAAATGGTTTCACCCATCAACCCAAAGCATGCACAATATGTACCCTTGTCCAGATAAAGTAGTTCTGACTGGTTCAAGATCTAGTTGAAGCTGGTCCCTCTGCTCCTGACACTGACCCAGGAACATGGACGAGTGAGGCACAGGACAAATGTATCATAAGGGACAACAGTGTTTACCTGGGATCCAGAATACACTGTTCATACTTTACAAAGATCTGAGTCTGGTCACAGTTCAGATGGGTGTGATTGACAGGTAGATTAGCCAATCAGGGATGTGCATGGTCTGTTCATAATAATAAATGATGAGTGACCAAAGAGCTCCTCAGGTTCACTCGTGTCACTGAGAAAAGCTCAGACTCCACTGGACTCAGGTGTCTGGTTCCAAAGTGTGCACATGGACATAACTTCCTGTGGACCAGATCACACATTTCCAGGTCAAAGTCTTTTATCAATCACAAACATAATGTTAAAGACTAGTGCTGGTTATGGGTAACTGTAACCAGAACCAGAACCAGAACCATAAGGACCTATATAAAAACGTATATAGGTTAAAGTGTCCTCATCACACACAGACCTGGAGTTGTGTTTTGTTTCATTCACACATGTTTAACACACAAACCCTGAGTTCTTCTCTCAGACCACAGAACCTGGTGATGTCATGTGGTAATACAAGAAATGCTCCACTGTGTTTTTAAACTCTATGCACCTTCACTAGAATCATTTGTATAACTGGGAGAAATGGAATTGCCAGACTGAAGGTACAGCTGCTGCTTTGGCTTTGTTCAAATGACTTTTCTTCTGCAGCACACTGGAGAACTCGACTCTTTTTCTTTCTCTTTTTAAATGTAAGAACTTGTTCTAGAATACTGAAGAGTAAAGCATTTCAACAGAGACTTTAAAATTGCCACTTAATGACATCACAAGATGGACCAGAGCATTTTGAGTTATGGAAATGTAGACAGACTAAGGATCACTCAAACATGTGAATGAAACAAAACACAACTCCAGAAGTGTTTTCAGTGACATAAAAACATTCCCACCTGGTAAAGACTTCACAGGAGTCTGTGTGTGTGATGACGATGGCCCAAAGAAGCAAGGAGGCCTCCAGAGATACACCATGTGTACTGTACTGTGTGAATGGGGCTGATCACAAAAGAACTGTGCTGTACTGTACTGTACTGTGCTGTACTGTGCTGTGCTGTACTGTACTGTACTGTACTGTGCTGTACTGTACTGTACTGTACTGTGCTGTGCTGTACTGTACTGTACTGTACTGTGCTGTGCTGTGCTGTGCTGTACTGTACTGTACTGTACTGTACTGTACTGTGCTGTGCTGTGCTGTGCTGTGCTGTGCTGTGCTGTGCTGTGCTGTACTGTACTGTACTGTGTACTGTGTACTGTGCTGTGCTGTGCTGTACTGTACTGTACTGTGCTGTGCTGTACTGTACTGTACTGTGCTGTGCTGTGCTGTACTGTACTGTACTGTACTGTGCCATACTGTACTGTGTCGTGCCGTGTTGTACTGTACTGTACTGTACTGTACTGTACTGTGCCATACTGTACTGTACTGTGTCGTGCCGTGTGTACTGTACTGTCTGTACTGTGTGCTGTACTGTACTGTACTGTACTGTACTGTGTCTGTGCTGTACTGTACTGTACTGTACTGTACTGTGCTGTGCTGTGCTGTACTGTACTGTACTGTACTGTACTGTACTGTACTGTGTCGTGCCGTGTTGTACTGTACTGTACTGTACTGTACTGTACTGTACTGTGTCGTGCCGTGTTGTACTGTACTGTACTGTACTGTACTGTGCCATACTGTACTGTAGTGTGTCATGTGTGAATGAAGCTGGTCACAGAGGAACTGCTCTGAAAACTGATATTGTGACGATCTGAGTCTAAATGTGGAGCAGGACCAAAGCTGATTCTGGTAATCAGGAAGTGAAGCTTTAGCAACAGCAGCAACTCCAACGCAACCAAACCCTTGAGAAAGAAGAGACAGAAGAGAGGACAGAAGAGAGCAGAGAGGAGCGAGAGAAAGGAGAAGAGAAGAGAAAGGAGAGGAGAGAGGAGAGAGAGAAAAGAGAAGGGAGGAGAGAGAAGGGAGAGAAAAGAGAAGAGAGAGGAGAGAGAGAAAAGGGAAGAGAGGAGTGGGAGAGAGAGAAGAGAAGAGAGAAGGGAGAGGACACACTAGAGAGAAGAGAGGAGAGAGAGGGGAGAGGAGAGAGAAAACAGAGAGAAGAGATAGAAGAGAAAGAAGAGAGAGAGAGAAAACAAAGAGAGAACAAAGACCAAAGAGAAAGAAGAGGGAGAAGAAGGAGGAGAGAGAAGAAACAGAGAATAGGGAGAAGAGAGAGAAGAGAGACAAGACCAAGGACCAGTCTGGCCCTGGACTGGAAGGCTGGGGCTTAGAATTATATCACAGAATCTGTCCAGGTTTCAGAATGATGGGGAATTCTGACCGTTGCCATAGCGATTAATAACTCAACACCAAATCTTGTAACTTCTGAATGAGAAAAGTCCTCAAAATCTTATATGCATATAAGGCAACATTTAAACAGTCAAGATAAAACTGGTATTTCATAACTGAATCAGATCGATTGGTGTAAACGTGTTTTGAGACATTTAAAGATGCACTGCGTAACTTCTAGCGGTTGTTTACTTGTCTCCATGGAGATGTTATTGTAATTGTTTGGAATGTTCCTGTTTTATTTATTCATTTATCTGGTGATGCTCAAATCTATCTTGAAAAACAATGCAGATCACTTCGAGTGGGCGACGGTTTCCACAGAACGGATTTGTATCGTTGCCCGATGACGACACCGGCTTGTTTCCATGGAGATGTTACTGTATGTGCCTGCAATGTTCCACAACCTGGCATTAAAATAATCCTTGTTCATGCATTCAGTTATACAGTAGGTGTTGCTCAAAAGTATCTCGAACAACACTGCATCATCCACAGGCAGTGTTGGGAAGGTGACTTTTAAAATGTAATCCCCTACAGATTACAGATTACATACCCCAAAATGTAGTTTGTAACAGAATCCATTCAATTACTTAAAGTGAGTAATGTAATCTGAATACTTTGGATTACTTGATTTGTTGTAGAGAAGCAAAGACGAGGAAATTGTAACATAAGAAGTTTTGTCTGATAAAAGAAAATAAAAAGCCCAGACTTTACTGAACCAAATTAAAAATATTATTGATAGAAGAAGAAGAGACACGTCCACACAGCAGGATTTAGTCCTGTTAAATCCTGGTTTAGACCTGATTTGGACTTGGTTCAGACCTGGGTTAGTCCTGGTTTAGTCCTGGTTCAGTCCTGGTTTAGTCCTGGTTTAGACCTAATTTAGACCTGGTTTAGTCCTGGTTTAGTCCTGGTTTAGACCTAGTTTAGACCTGATTTAGTCCTGGTTTAGTCCTGGTTTAGACCTAGTTTAGACCTGGTTTAGTCCTGGTTTAGTGTCTGGCAATGAGTGGAATTATCGGGGGGGGAAGGAATATAGCCTGAAATGTGAAAACAGGAAAAAACATTTCCTGTAATCCATTTATTTCAACAAAGTAACTGTAATCCAATTACCACTCACTGAAACAGTAACTGTAACTGAATACAGTTACTCATAATTTGTACTCTGATTACATAACGCCGGTACATGTAATCTGTTACTCCCCAACACTGTCCACAGATCTGAGCCGTGACTTGACCTGGAGATCGGCGAGTTAAAAGCAATGCTGTGGAACATTCCAGGCAAAATAAAGCAGTAACATCTCTCATACAAGCAGGAGGCACAAAAGTTACACAGTGAGACTTTAAACTGTAGATGGAAAGCGGTCCTTCTGCATTCTGTGTGTGCATTAATGTGGCAGCGGTGGTGGTTGTAACAGTAAATGCTTCTATTTTCAGCCTGTACTCTTGAGCTCGGTTCATATAGGCCTGGGGGGAGGGGCCTGGAGGAAGGGGCGGGGTCACGCCGGCTCGCCACTTCCCTAAACGGTAGCGACACAGTTTCTCAAGTTGCTGTTGTCTATGTTCCCTTTCTTTGCGGCGTAGTGTTTGACATGAACGCAGATCTATTTAAAGGTGACGCGGGAGGGCAGGTTCATGCGATTTCCCTCAAAGTTAAAGGGTTCATCCATATTAAACTTTTTTTAATTTTTTTTTTATCTGTGTTATAATGTAGTTTCCTCATCACAAACCGATCTTCACCAAGGGCTCGTCCATATCCCACAGCCGAGAGTATCTCCAGACAGCGGAGCACAGCCCCTTCTGCTGCGAGGACATGGACTCAGAATAAGACAGAATAAGACAGAATAAGACAGAATAAGACAGAATAAAACAGAATAAAGACAGAATAAGACAGAATAAGACAGAATAAAACAGAATAAAACAGAGTACTAAAACAGAATAAAACAGAATAAGACAGAATAAAAGAGAGTAGTAACCTGAGTGTTGTTACCTCCTCAAAAACAGACCTGGAGTTGTGTTTTGTTTCATTTTGAACTTGTAGTTGGAGTTGGCCGGGTTTTCGTTTATGGAAATCAGTGTATTAAAACTGTTAAAACTGTACACAGAGGAAACGTGGCCGCTTCTGGAGTTTGCATATGAACAACAAAACACTGATTCACGTTTTGTCAACTGAGGTGTATTTGGCAAAAAAAAAACATTAAAGTTACTAATTGGATTATTTAATTAAACAAAAGTGGACGATAACAACCAAAGAAGACCCCTTTTTCAATAAATGAAAAAATAAATCACTAAATAAATAAATGATTCCTTTTGACTTTGAGAGAGTTCAGTTCATTTTTTCGTTAGGATTTAGTTCCGTTCAAAAATATCGCAGATGTAATCATGTTTGTTTCATAAAAATACACAATGTCCAAAATTCAAGGAGCGCAGGACAAAAGAGAAAAAGTTGCTGACTGAACCAGGTCCAACCAGACCAGAACCAGACCTGGACTGAGACCAGGACCAAACTGGGACTGAGACCAGGACTGAGCCCGGGACCAGGACTGAGACCGGGAACAGGACCAGGACTGAGACCAGGACTGAGGCCGGGACCAGACCAGGGCCAGGCCATGATTGAGACTGGGACTGAGTCCGGGACTGAGACCGGGAACAGGACCAGG